GGGGGGGGGGGGGGGGGGCATGGGTTGCTGGCCGGACCTGTGGGCTCGTCGCTGCAGCTTCCTGGAGGCTCTGCATTGTGGTGGCTGGGGTCACCCGGTTCTTTCCTCTGCTCCTCTCTGGGGGGGGGGGTGGGGGGTGCGGTTCTCCCTGTTGGGAGACTCCTGGGGCTCCGGGCCTGTGGGCCGCTGTGTGTCTGTAGCTCCGGTCCTCCCTATGTTGCCATTGTGTCCTGGGGGGGCGGGTCTGTGGGCTCCCGCGTCCACTATTGGGCATTCTTTTGGAGAAATCTGGTGGTGGCGGGCGTGCTTGCGCGGGTGTTTGAATTCAGGTGCTTTGACAGATGCACGCTAGGTTGGGTAATGGTGGAAGCTAGATGATTCCTTGTGTGATGTCGAATGTTTCATGGTGATATTGTGGGTGGCATTGTGCTGTGCATGTTGTTTGTTGTGGTGGTCTCTCGTTTTATCTATTTCTCTTTTATTATTTATTTATTCTTCTTTCTTCTCTTTCTTTAAAAATAAAATAAAATTGAGCGATGATGATAAGTTCATTGAAACACTTCACAATGTTTCTACACTTAAACTGAGCTCAACAAGAAAAAAAAAAGAAAAAAAAAAGGAATACTGTCGTAACTTTTTGTAGCAATGCGTCGAACAGCGTAAATTTAATTTACACAAACATAAAAAAATAAACTGCAAAGATGTTCACGTATATAATGGGATTTTGGCTAGAATAAGTGAGAAATTCCAGCCCTCTGGAGCTATACAGCTCATATATGCTTAATATAGTTATACTTAAATATACAAACACTACAAAAAACAGTTTAAAGTTTAATTACAGTACATTGGAACTAATTAAATTTTGATATCATTAATGGCTTTCAAACAATCTGCTCAAATGTTGTGATTTTCGTGGATTTCACAACAGATTGTTCAACTTCCAGACTGATGTCACTCTAACTTTTGAGTTGTCGAAACTTTCTCAAAACATTTGCTAACAAACAGTTTTTACTGTCACAAACTTTACAATTCATTTATTTTATTGTATTTTTTACAGTTTATTTCTGCTTTTAAGCTCAGAATTTTCTCTTCAAAACCAGAAATGAAATTTTTTTCTTAACTCGTCTTATCTCAAACACAAAACTTGTTGGATGCATAAAAACTGACGTGATGACCAGCCAGTTAAGGTGTTTTTTAATAGGTTTTTGCACCGTGAGCATTTATCTGAGGCTTCATTTCTACTCTGTGATTCTGTCTGCTGGCTTAGTGGTGGCAGGGGGTAAGAGACACAGATGTGTTGTTACACATCTTATACAGTTTATACATGAGACTGTCAGCATTTTATCAGCTTAGATTGTTACAGCATGAGACTTCCAATCATTATTGGACTTTACAGAAGAAAGTTGGCAAATTTTGAGATTTTAGGGAGTATCTGTGTTGGAAACCTTTAAAGTATCTTCATAAGTTGTATGTTTTTTTACATTGTTTAATACACAGCTCTTTCCTCTTTGCATGCGCCTCCTCTTCACATCAGGACATTTCAGCTGGAAAAGGGGGTGACCTCCATCGCTGGAAGAGAAGCAGGGCAACTGTTCTTTATTGGCACAGAGGCTGCTCAGATGTACCGCTTCAGTCTGGAGGATTTCAAAGCTGAACTCATCTCTACCAGCCACAGCACTGCTGTCAAGGACGTGGTCATCCCTTTGTAAGTGTCAGACAGGCAGTTCAGGCTGGCACTGTCAAAGATATCTGTCATGTGCGGACAATGCATGTGTCTTCTGTTTGATTTTTATTTTATTTTTTTGGAGGGACATTTTAAATCCAAGACCCACCAGAGAGAACAAAATGGAAAATTGCTTTGCTGCAGCTTTCAGATCTGATGACAGGAACACAGAAAAGATAAAGAAGAAAACTACCAACTCTGTAGTTTTCACTAAAACCTACAGAATGTGAATTACTTCTAACCTGTCCTTATTCTGTCCTGTTTATTACTACATTTTAAGGAATAGTAATATTTGAGTTAGAGTAAAGGCTCATCATTCTCTGAAGAATGCATGTCACCTGATGCCTTTTATGGTAGAGATTTAAACTAAGATATTACAGATTTGTAGCCGTTTTGGTCAGACCTTGTAAAGGACTTTATGCATGAACTAATGTGAAAGGTTAAACTCACGAGATGAGCTAGAGCTCAGAACATGTTGTGAATCAGCTTCTGCCACAGCAGGTATTAGCTCAATATCTGTAAAACTGAGTTAAATGAGCTTCTATGCTGACAACGGTTGATTAGCCGTGGTGATTTTCTAAAGTGGACTCCAAAAGTTGACCATTGTAGGTGAATATCTAATTACTTTCTGAGTTTCATTAAAATATGTCCATGAAACTTTGAAACAAAAAAAAAATCATCTGTAGTACTCAAAGTATGTGTTGGAGATGATGCTCAGTCACCATAACCCCAAACTTTAACTTGATATCTGTCATAGCTCTGCTCTCTGTCAGCTCCTCTGTCATGCTGCACAC